AGCAGGAAAATCTTTAGATGTATAGTACAGCAACTTAGTGTATTCAGGTTGTATGAGTACGGATGAAGGAGTATTGTGAAGTATAAAGTGAAGCTTTCGCGGTGACTGAAGTTGATGTAAGATTCTTGGGTTATAAGCTGTGTCAGGTGTCTGAACGGAAGAATGGTCTTTACACCGAGGCAGTAGATATGGTTTATTCACCGTTCAGCCACCTGACATGGCTTGTAACCTGAGAATCTTTCATCGAGTATTATGGATTTCATCTGGAGATGAGTGAACGTGGGAAATGACACAAATTTCTGTTTGTACATTTTTCCAAAGTTTTCTAAATACAATATTGTAAACATATGATGAAGCATTTTGGGTAGACTTTTTCAGTTTCTTAGCTGTAACAAAATTAAATATACTATATAATATTTTGTTCTGTGCAAAACAGTGTTCAAATACTCCTCCACCAGTTTTCAGTGCCTATGGTGTTGCCTAATAACTGTGCTTTTCTGTTAAACATTTTCCATTATTTTAAATCATGTTTTGATAAGAATTTTGTATGTGCATTTCAGCTTAATGAGTGGAAAGACTCAACAAACCATTCATTTACATTCAAGGTTCTTCCAATCACTTTTCCTCTGCAGGGGAATACAGATGAATGGAAGAAACTGTTCAAGCCTTGTGCCTCACAAAGACTTTTCTTGCCCGTAAGTATTAGTAAAGTAAAATACTATTTTTATATTTTTTGTAAAAAACTTCAATGTATGAACATGAGAGATGTTACTGAAGATTGTTTGTATATTACCTTGAACTATGTTCCTATTAACCCTTGCACCAAACTGTTCTTGGCCGCAAGAAGCAGAAAACACTTCAATAAATTGCAGTCAGGTTTTACAGAGTGTACAGTGGATAAAACAGTATATACACGTCTTTGAAAGAAAGTAATGTTTACAGTTCATCATTTGCAAGTAGGGAAAAGAGTGATTTTTCAGTTGGTATTGTACATTGACTTTTGTATTTCATATAAAAAGCTCTTATTGTGGGTAAAATTCAAAGTTTTTTCATTGTAGGTACAAAAAATGGTTTATGCTTGCCCAGCTTTATTATTATTGATACCAAGACATATTAAATTTGTATCTGCTTTGTTCTTGAATTTCAGACTGTGCTGAATGATGTTGACTCCCTTCTCTATGTTGATACAGACACATTATTTCTTGGCCCTTTAGAAGATGTTTGGAGACATTTTGACCTTATGAATTCCTCCCAAATAGCAGCACTTACACCAGAGCATGAAGATCCTAATACAGGCTGGTACAATCGCTTTGCTAAACATCCATACTATGGACATTTAGGTAAGACTCTTACAGGATCGTGAATTTATTGCTGACTGTAGCAACACTTTCATAACAAGTCCCAGTAGGATGACAAGAAAGAGAATGAGTTCTTAATGTCATGGTCTGTGATACAACTCAAACCTGTTTATATTAGCTTATGTAGTGCACTGTCATTCATATACAATTGTTTTTTTGTGTATGTGATGTATGCTCTTTGTCCTGTTCCAATACAGAATTAATTGTATCCTTTTGACATGTAGGACTGTTTGGAACATCATAATACCTATATCACCACAAGATAGCATAAAACGTATAGCCAACATTTTAACCTACATCTAAAGACTGTCATTTTGCCTTTAGTAGGAAGTCTGTTATATTTTCTATACCTCATTGGTGAGGTATTATGGTTACAAGCTCTGTCACTTCAAAACAGCTCTCAAACTGAACACATGAAAGTGTTGATGTGAGTTGCTTTGCATGCCTTGATTTACGCTGTGTTGTGTCATTGCTGCCACATAAAATTCAAACTACCATTTTATCAGTTTTGGTGGAGTGAAATTACAAAAAGTTAGTCTTCAAGTAATCCAATTATTTTACCCAACTAAATAGACAAAACTTCCCAAAGACCATCACTGGTAAATAAGACTTGTTTAACCAAAATAGATGTATGAAAACAAAAGATAACAACAGACATTAAGAAACTTAAATGAAATTGATTACACTCATTCAGTTCATGATTTACACTCCACTCCTCAAATGAAAAGTTTTGTAACAAAGAAACTTGTACTTAAACGTGATGTGAAGTTGCATATGCTAATGGAATACTATGCTATCACAGAACATACTTTAAGGGTTAAGGAATACTGTGAATTTCACCTATCATTACTGAATTCTGTTATTTTTTCAGGAGTGAACTCTGGTGTCATGCTAATGAATCTTACACGCATGAGGGCATTTAGTTGGACCAGCTATGTTGTACCTATTTACAAAGAGTATAAGTTGAAAATAACGTGGGGTGATCAGGATATCATCAATATTATATTTCACTTTCATCCGGGTAATTATGTGTATTACTAATATGACTATATATGTTATGTATTTTTGAGAAAACAATCTCAACTCTTAAGTTTCTTATGTCATGTGTCTAATAAAAGCTGAACAGGGTAAGTACATTGTTAAACTTTGTTTATGATGGGTCTGAAGATCATGGTTTTATTTTACAGTTCTGTAGATGTGATTTGCAATCAAGGGCTTTGAAGTTCACCGTGGGGTAAGCACATCAGTCCAACACACATTTGGGAGGTACAATCCCTATTAGGGTTTGACTCCTTTCTATGGTTTTCATGAATTCTTATAATTTCACTGGGATAGTACTTTATAATAGGCCACCACCATTTCTAAAATTTTCCCCGTTCATCATACATAATTATTCCAATTTACTGCATTAAGATCTGGTGCAATATAAAGTCAGCAGTTAGTACAGTGTTATGAGAACCAAATAAATAACATACAGGCTTTCAGATTCTTTCCTGTGTTGTTGTTATTGGTTTATTGGGTCTTCTCTGTGTTATACGATTTTATACTGAACGGTATTTTTCACAGTTTTTTGTCACCTTGTCGTGGTGGTGGGGCTTGAGTACCTCAGTGACCCAAAGAGCTATGCTGGTGGTAGCATAGCTACTGGTAGGGCCTCCCTAGCCAGATTGGTCGAGGGGGAGGGGTCAGACTAAGACAGGTACCCTGGTCCTCCAGGTTGGGGGTTGGTCGCAAGGCTAACAACCTTGCACCGTAAAAAGGAAGATGTTTTGAAACCTCAATCAAAGCCTCGGACAGAATGGACCTAACAATTGGACCGAATGGAAGAGGAGAATTGAGGAGGCCATGGACCGAATATGGACCAGAGAGCCATAGAAGAAGAAGAAGTTTCTTGCTATCTGATCGACCATGTGGGAATTTGTATGGGATTTTAACAGTTTCATTAAACGTCATTAATTTGGGCTACAACATACAGTCTTGATTCATCACAAATATATGTTTCTAAATTGGTAATTTGTAAGATTCCTGTGCTTCCTTCATGATCCCATGCCTACATCATGGTCCACTTTGTTTTATATTTCATAATCAGAAAATCCAAAAAGGTGGATGTTCAGAAGAGTTTCACTCAGTGATGAAAGTAGAACATGATGGATGATCTGAAAATGTATATGCATCATAGCCAAAGAGGATATGAAGAAGGTACATGCATATTCATCACAGGCAGGTGCATCAAGTAGAAGTTAATACAGTGATGCAATAGTTAGAGTTCTGTATGAGTATTTGCAGTAATAAACCTGTAAACATATTTAAGTTTGCATAAATGTTCATTTACAATTCAGTATTTTATGGTCCCCTGCCCTTCCCTTCTGATGAATCTCATGCATCACCATTGGTCTTCTTTGTGCCAAGAATAATTGTTTAAGCTGAAGACTTGATTTTAGAGACTTTGGGAGTATTCAGATTCGAATAGAATACTAATATGTGTGCATGTTTAAAATATTCTGAAAATGTCTTGTACTTGGCAAAGGGATCATCTTCACTGTAAATTGTGTGAGTCTGTTATTAGGACCATTTTATAGCAGCAGGATTTTTTCAGTTGGACGAGGCAAGCAGAACATCTGGTGTTTTTAGTCAGTTGTTTAATTCTCTGTGTTGCTTTTAGTCCTCATTGACTGGTGTGTGATTTTATATATAAATTTTAATCATTTGTTGTAAAAATATCAGTGAATAAGAATAAAAAATATTTTAATATAAATGATTTTGATAAAGAATTAGAAGATTTTAAAGCAACTGATGGATGGCTCTCAAGCTGGAACGAGATATACATTATTGTTTATAAAGATCTTCATGGAGAAAAACAAGATTCTGATAACTGGCAGCTGATATCTGGCTACAAACTGATTGGAAAACTGTATTAAACACATATTTTACAGAGGATATCTTCAGTACAGACAACACTGGACTGTACTATAGACCTAATATTGCAAGATTTTTTAAAAATGCTTCATCTTCTGCAGGGAAGGAGGTTAAGGACAGAATTACAGTCATATTAACTTGCACTGTGACAGGAACAATCAAGATGATATGTGTGCTGATTCCTCAGTCTTGTGTCTGTAATTTTGGAACATGGAAGTTATGCATTAAAAATTAGGAATTTAAAATTAATTATGCTCTGGCTTATATACTTGTGAAAATTTTACTCTTGTTCTTGTGGATAGCAGATTGAGGTTGTTTAAAATAAAGTGCTGAAAACAATGTATTTAACAGGAGAATGGAGATAATTATTATAAGAAGCTTCACAGTTTTCTGCTCTTAAACAAGTATTCTTGAGATTATTAAATGAAAACAGGTGAGATGGTTTGGTTATGTAATCTACGTGGTGGAAACAAGTTATTTATTTTATTTTTTACTTGGAAAGCCTGATGATATGAGTCAAGTTATACAACACAGGCATAGATGGAAGGATACTGTTAACATGGTTCTTTTAGAAATTATTTGAAGATGAATTAAGGTGGCTCATGTTGTGGTCCATTTTTGAAGTTTTGTTTTGATCACTGTAAACCTTGGGGTCCTAGAACAGGGAATTTCTTCTTTATATAGTCAATGTTCATAGTTGATTCTTGGTGAATAGGTTGGGTGTTCCAAGGTTTTTGATGATTTTCCTCAGTGTTTGGATAGTTCTTTAAAATGGCTACTGCAGCTTCTTTGCATGCCCTTTGCAATTTATTATTTATAATTGTCCCATCATCTCATGCTATATAATCTTCCACTGGTTAAATGAGTGATGGACTGGAATTTCTTTATTGGGTGAGCAACTTCCTGACATAGAAACATGAGCTGTTATGCTTATTTGTTAAATTTGTTTTCAGACAAACTGTATATTTATCCATGCCGATATAACTACCGACCAGACCACTGCATGTACATGTCAGTTTGCAAGAGTGCAGAGTCTCAGGGTGTTGCAGTATTACATGGAAGCCGAGGCAGCTTCCATGCAGAGAAACAGCCCGCATTTCAAGCTGTCTACCGAGCTATGGAGGAGGTGGTATCTCTTTTTTCTTATTTGCTACAGATTTATACTCTACAAATCTTTGTGACATTTCTATAATGAATACAAAAATCTCAATGATGATGGCTCTTATACCAGTCAGTTCCATTTTGTGTACATATTTACAAGTTCAGTAGCCAGGGTAGCTCAAGTCAGCAAAGTGACTAGGTTATAGGTTGGATGGCCAGAGTTCAGTTCCTGTCAGGGGCAATTTCTCTTTCTCTTATCTGCAATGCCCAGACTAGCTCTGGGGCCTTCCCATATACCTATCCAGTGAGAAACGTGGGTTCTTTCCCCGGGGGTAAAGTAAACAGGACATGAAACTAATCCCTTACCTCTATATTTGTATAGTGCTGAGGTTAAGTATTAGTGGAGCTGTACCTCCCTCCCTCCTTATTTTCATGGTAGGGTATGTATCACATTCACTTCCTAACATCTCTTGCTATCATGTCCATCAACATTTTAGTGCTGATGTACACACAGTTGCTCATATCATCTAGAGGTGTGACTCAAAAATGCAGTTAAACTTTCACTAATGATGAAGAAAGCTTTGCTGTACCAATGTATTTACAAGCAACGGCCTCTCACAAAATACCTTCCTGTTCCTTTGTAAATTTGGATTCCTCATGTTATAAAGATGACTGATGAAAAGTGTGGAAAAGCAAAAAAATTGCATTTAAGTGAATAGCTATACAAGATGTAACACCTGAAACCTTTAATAAAGGTAACCTGAAAATTTCATGTAATTACTTCAAATGGTTTCTAAGACATTTTGTTCGTCCTACTAATATTAAACACATCCCCACACTGAAGACTGGCACAGGGTCTTTGCATTCCCAGTAGGTAGCATGGCAGTGAATGTGTTGCAACAACAGTACATTTATTTGCAATTTATCTTAAATTTTTGTCTAGCTGAACAGAATTTGAGTTCAGGAGCTTTCATATGTATATGTACTTTGCCATCAGTTTTTCTTTTAATTTTTGTAGAAGATTAGAATTATGTCATAGCAATACTGACTAGCATTGAAAGTAACAAACATAATATGTTGCACACAGTATGCATTTTTATCCTTCATACAAAGTTTGTAGGTATGTTATATGACTTACAATAGACTGTCAGTTATATGGAGGGGTGAACTGATGTGAATAACCCAGTAAAGCAGGTAATATACAAATACAGGATCATATCATTTTATTTAGAGCTATAGGTAGTAATTTGTAATAAATTCAATATTATTTTATTTCCACTACAAGGATTGGGGCATTGGCATGTTATGGGACAGTTGCTCAAGGCAGCTTGTCCAAAAGTCTTTGAAGTGTATTTTTCATTAGTGAGTGACAAGCCCACTGCCTCTGCACAATTTCTACTCATTCCTGATTTGTCCGCTAGAGCCATCTAGTAGAGAATCAGGAGAGACATGGGTGAGAAATGGTCGCTAAATTTTGCTTATGAAGCATCTTGTTCATGCTTGCAAGGTTTTTTACGTGCTGTAAATCTACAACATGGGATCGACGGCTTTACTTCCCCTCTGAAGGAAGTTGTGCTACGGATTTTTATCACCCTTAAAAATCCATTGACCTCGGCTGGGTTTGAACTCTCAGACCTTGGGTCCAGTGGCGAACACACTAACCACTAGTCCATTGAGGGTGACTAAATTCAATTTCAACGAGTAATTTTCAACAACTTGTAGGTTTTGTGTGTTTATATTTCTCCTGTATTTTGAATATGCTGTATTTAAAACTGTTTGTTGAGTAATTAAATATTTATGTCTGAGTATTAACATATCTTTTATTGTAAATTGGTTTGTTCCAGTATCAGTTGGGCAGTGATCCATATACAAATCTGTTTCTAACCACACGGAACTACTTAGAACAAACTACTTCCACCAACTGTGGCAAGATTCAACACATCTTCACACAAGCAATGCAGCATTTCATTCAGAAAACATATGGTAGATAACAGAGTAGCTTGTCACCCAAATTATGTTGAGGTGGATGATTAATCACATTTAGTAAGATTTCCTTTGGACATGTGCTATGATGACTATATTGTGGCCAGTTTCATAATAACCACTGGCTAACTGCAGTTCTGTAAGCAAATGTACATTTGAACAACCAGCAGGGTCATATTATTTACACTTTGCATATTTTGATGCATGCAGAGGCATTCATAACTTTCTATCTTTGTAAAACATACACAAGACTTAGCTAAATCAGCTACAAACAGAATGGAGAAGCTACAACCGATGCGTGTATTGAAAATGAATGAATGAAACGTTATGCATTCTGATGGAATTCGTCTTGCACTTTGGTGGTGTGTGCTGATCCTAAAATATTTTATGGTAAATATGCTGATAGTAAAGTACATTTACTTTTCCCCATTCATGGACCTTATAGTTCTTTGTTTAAATTCCAGAAGCTGTACAAACAAAATTTAGTGACCTGCTGAATAACTATGTTCCACAAGGCAGATCGTACACTGTGGTGTTACTTAGCAGTGGAACGGTTAATGGCTGGTTGTGCTGTAGGAATGTGCTTACAGAACTGATATATATATTTCTAGACTGGGACCATTGTGTGACCACTTTCACGAATCTATTGTATGTTTTATACTACACATCTTTTGTAACGTTTTTGTTGTTGTATTTATGTAAATATTTTTATGGAGTTTTGTGTATTACAGTGTATTTAAAAATGTTAATGTTATCAGCACAATCTTATTGTTGTCTTGATAATGTGAAATTGCAGTTCCCACACAAATATTTTTCAGTATTTTTCATAACAAAATCAGAAGTGTCCTTAAGCTTTACCATGTCTGTCTAATCATCTGTATGAGTTGTTCAGCTAACAGTGCTCACCATGACTGGATATACGGGTAAGGAGATGCTTTTGATTATATTGGCCTTCTTGAAAAAATTTACATGAAGCTTTGAAATTATTTATATACAGAGTGATCATAAGTGTTTTTATTGAATTTATTGAAAGTTTGTAAAACTGCTCTTTGTCATATATTCATTTACATAAAAGGAAACTTTTCAACTCTTTCTACCTTTCCCCATTGTGTGTGTTTGTAGCTCTGTTATACCATCATTCATACTTCATGTCTTGTTTTGGGTGATGTGGCAAGTTAGAGGAGGATGTAAATCCAAAACCTTTACCTAAATTGTGTTTCTATTGTACTTACATTATAATTATGATCGTGATACTGGCCTAAGTTATTCAACTTCTGTGAATGGAAAATAAAATAATTTTGAATTGTTATTCATGTTTTCTTACAAATTGTGCTTCCTATCCTTATTAGTTCTGATAATGGAGAGTATATTGTGTGTGTGTGTGTGTGTATGTATATATATATATATTTTAATATTTTCTGTCAAATCACAATTTTAATAAGATAATAAGATATAAAATATTTAAAATATCATTTCACGTTCCGCATTAACCTAATTCACAATATGACGCAAATATACTACCTTATGTATATATTGTGATGTGTTGGGGTTGGCATTGTTGAACTGTTTAATGACATTGTTATGCTCATGCATTGTTGTATTATTATTTACATTGTTGCGTTTAGATTGTTGCATCTGTTTATTGGCATTGTTGCATAGACATTGTTGTATTTGTATAAAAGCCGAGTTCGGGCGACAACGGACGAGACCCCCACCGGCACAGCCTGGAGAGAGGTAGGGACGATGCTTGCGCTTGCGCAGGCCTCCGCCCTCAGTTAGCTTTTTGGTTGTGTCCAGTGGG